ATAAAACATAATCACATGTAGTTTAAATTCATGCAAAATGTTTGAACTGACTCCTGAGAATGTATAGCATTAAGAATAAAAGCCCAATCTCTGAAGTTATTGAGTCAAATCCCAGCCTTGCCACTTGCTAGCTCTGCAATGTTAGGCAGAATATTTGGCCTTTCTCTGTGTTAATTCCCCTATTTGTAAAATGGAAATTAAATTAATACTTACTTCATAGGATTAAATGCATTAATACATGTAAAGTGACGAGCACATAGTAAATAATTTGTAAATGTAAGCTATTATCAAACTTTTTTGTCATTATTCTTACTCAATAGAAATCAGTCATGTTGAGAATATGAGCACTTTAGTACAAAAATATATATTGTAGGTAATTTTGTTACCAGTTGCATTTTGGATTTTAAAGCCCCACAGATATGAGCTTAGATAGGTATCAGGAAGTACTCAGGTTATTTTTAATATACCATTAATCACCAAAAATGTGTTTTATTGTGGCCTACCATGACACAATAAAATGAAGATACTTTTGAACAAGTAAAATAAAGGAATAAAGGTTTGAGCAAATGAGAGTTGAACAAAACTTCATCATGGAATATTCTACAACAAAAAAAAATAGGTAGTATGTAATGTTGTTATGTGGAAAGTATATGTGTGTGTGCGTGCACACACATGCATGTTCTTAGCCCTAATACACTTTTAGTAAAAGTTACAGCCTCACCTATTAAAATTTGTAAGGATTAGAGATTAAAAATCAGGCTTGGATGATATACATGTATGCAAAATGAATTATTCATATTCAAATCTCTGTCAGAACCTTGTATGATGTAAATATGTCCTAACAAATTACTTCCGAGAAGCTATCAGGTATTATCTCATTTCTCCTTTGTTTGCCCTTTTATTTGTTCTTCCATCAGTGGTATTAACTTCAGATTCTTACCCTTTTGGAATCTTTCTGCCTTTATTCAGAAAAAGAGTCTTTTCCAGATTTATCCTAAGATAAAATTGGCACTTAACTCTCACTTTGAGATAACAGCAAAATGGAGTTCTATGGTGCTAGTTTATGTCTGCTAAGGTTTTTAAAAAAATATTGTTGAATTCATTGTATTTGTTCTCCACAATCTTTTATCGAGCTGCTGTTATGGTTTTGGGCATCATGCTGGACTTACTAAAGTAGAACAAACAAGACATGGTTTCTATCTTCCTGCAACTCATAGTACAATCTTTAATACTTTTCCTTCAATCTGTGCTATGGGAAATGAAAGGAAATAAGGAACTATTGAAAACTTCTCTACAAATATTTAAAATAGCATGAATAACAAATTTCCATTATGTAAACAAAAATGAGTAAACACACAGTATCTTTATTTATTTTTATGTGGTGCCGAGAATTGAACCTAGTGCCTCACAAATGTGATGCCGGTGCTTTACCACTGACCTACAGCCCCAGCCCTATAATATTATATTTTGTAAATGTAAGCAAGCTATTACCAATCTTTTTTGTCATTATTCTTACTCAATAGAAGTCAGTCATGTTGAGAATGTGAGCACTTTAGTACAAGAATATATATTGTAGGTAATTTTGTTACCAGTTGCATTTTGGATTTTATATTTTGAGAAGTTTCCCAAACCTCTCTGAGCTCCCCTGTAAAATGGTGATAATAAATACTACTTGGAGATGTGAAATCATGAAGTAAGTAAACAAGGGGCTCTAACAAATAGCAAGTCCTACTCTGTGTCTATGGAATTTTCTTGTAGATGATCTCATGTCATTATGCTACATCTTGGTGAGTTAGACATTATTGTTACCACTTCACTAATAAAGAAAGGCAACGCAAGTCACAGAGCTAAGGGAAACCATGTCTATCTTTAAAGCTATATGTTTGTAACCAGACCACTCTGATAATGAACGTGAAAGTGTTCAGTAAAATGCTATTCAAATGTTGTTTATGTTATTTTTTTACCAACTCTTGTCATTGTATTTTATATTATCAATTCCATGTCAATGCTCAAGATATTTCAGAGACATATGTGTGAATATGGAGGGGATAGAAAGTTGTAGATAGCTTCATTTTAAAATTCTGTAACTGTGATCTGGGGCAACTACTTTCCCTCCTGTAATATAGGGTAATCTCAGACCTAACTAATATCAGAATTGTAAAGCATAAATGAAATTATACATGCAAAATGTTTCATATTTACTAAATAGATAATGAATTAGTTGTATTATAATCATTACAAATACATGCCAACCACTCTGGAATTATAAAATTATCTGATCATAAATTCCTAAAATCTTAGTTTCCAAATAACATATATATGTGTCTGCCATCCTACCAAAATTATTTCCTACATACCAATTAGAAAAGGAAAGCACAACCAAGAAGAGAATATTATAAATCACCCTTTAAGTATCAATGAGATGCATACATATTTCACACTATCAACTACAGTTAGAATCCTACTGAATGACAAGTACTGTGAATGTTATATTCAAATTTTAAATTAAAAACAATTTTTTTTTCTCTCAAAAATTATCCAAAAGAGGAAAAAGCAGCCTATTAGTTAATTCCAGGCTCTGGCTCCACTTCCAGTTCAAATTCTAGCTGTTCTACCCATTAACTTAGTATGTTGGGCTAGTTACTTTCTTCTTCTATAAAATGAAGTTAATAGCAGTAGCAAAGTCAAAGGATTTCTGGGAGAATTAAATGAGCTAATGTAATGTAAATGTGGCACATAAAGCATTATGACTTTGCTAAAAAATAACACAAATTTTCAATTGAAATTTTTTACCACATTTAACAGTCAATAATTAATATGGAGACTTTACTTTGCTATTTTGATTTTAATTCTAAAAATTTAGCTTTAAAATATTTTAGGGAATAATCTTGACAAATTCACAAGTTAACTGAAGCAATTACCCAAAACAAAATTAAATGTAAAACATGAATTCTTACGAAAGACTTGACTAAAACTACATTTTTCTCTAAAGATGATAATGAAGAGGAGGAATTAATTTTTACATTTATTAACAATCAATGCCTCAAATAAAGAGTTATAAGAAGGGAGAGACATTAGGCTCATGAGATTAGGATAAAAATCTTGAATGAAGAATTCAATTGGTATTTTATCTTTTATAGGGAGATTTAAAAATCTTTTATAGGGAGATTTTATCTTTTATTAAAAAGATTTATCTTTTTAGGGATATTTTGAAATCAAGGTTTTAAAGTGAGTGAAGCACTATTAAAGAATATCTGAGAGAGTAGGAGTATGGCTATTTCTACAGGCAAATGCAAATAGAGTAGAGTTCCAAAAAGTTGTTAAACTAAAATCAATCTGCCATACAAAGAAGAGGGTCACAAAACCTATAAAGGACAAATTCAAGGTCATAATAGCACAAACAACAAGAGTATGAATCAAATACATTTTGATAAGTTTCTATATGTTGTTTTCCTAATAATGGAGAAATAAGAATGTTGAGCATGAATATGAATATATTTTTGAATGAGTGTAGGTGAGATGAGTGTAAGTGAGATGACTTAGGATGTTAATATTGAGCATTTGCTTTTCTCCAATCCTATGCCTATTGGTGTGACCTTCTTTCTCCTATAAACCTTCCAAATTCTGAAATATTATACCATGAATTAGGCTTAAAGAAAATATGACCATTTAGTGTTTCCCATTGTCTCTTTTCTTTATTAACATGTTTCACGAATATCCAGAACAATGACACAAACCAACAACCATCATTACGCCTCCCTCCCAATTCAGAATGAATCAGGACACAGTGTAATACAGTTTTTTGCTTCCATTAAACTGCAAACATTCCTATAAATACATATGCTCATTACAAAAAAAAATGCTTTTGATGCCTATAATAATGAAACTTGATATTTAAATAAATAATTTGGGGAATGTGAAATATGAGAAGTTGGAGATTCCATTTTATAGTATCATGATTTCCATAAACATGGTGTATGAATTTTCAAATTCAGTGAGTTTTAATAAATAAGCAAAACATCAATGCTAGATATTTACATTTGTTTGTTTATTTATTTGTTCAATAAATATTTATAGAGTATTGATTATGTGTGAAACATTAAAGATTCTTTCTAAGAGGCTCAGAGGCAGGTACTATGTGCTAGGACTGATATAACTATGTATTTTATGAGTGTAAAAAGAAGCCCAGGGAAGTTCACCAAGTTAGTGGCCAATCTAGTATTAAATTGTCATCTCTGAATTTCTCAGTGTTATTCTTGCCAGCTAGAGAGGCAGTAGTTACTAAGGAAAACTGAACTGTAAGATGTTGAGGGCTCTGAGAAATACACCTTTGATTCTGGAATCTGACAGCTCTGTAGATCTGGAGATATCTCGTAACTTCTGTTTCACTAAGATGCCATCCTTAAAAATGGGCATTAATGATACCTATTCTACTGAGCTCACAAGACTGTCTTAGCTTATAAATGAAATAACATATACAAAAATATTTTTAAAATAGCATAAATCGAAACAGCACTAAAATATTATTACTGCCATAGCTTTTAAAATCACTAGGAGATAAGTGCCTCTGCAGCTATCAACTTCCCAATCCACAGAACTACCCGTAAAGTATGAGAAAAAAGGGCTAAAGAGAAAGTAGTAGAGAAGTAAAATTTTGTCAGATCGTTCAAGGGAAGGTTTTCTTAAAAAACATGAACCCTCCCTCCCAATTCAGAATGAATCAGGACACAGTGTAATACAGTTTTTTGTTAACTTCTTTTAAAATCCCACTATTGAACTTGACAATGTGAAGTAATTCTGATGATGATTTTTCACATAAAACATTGTTTTTAAACACAGAAGTTAATTAATACAGACAGCTATGAAAAGTCCAGAAATGTCACAGGCTCCAATGCTGGTTGAATCCATTAAGGATACCTCACCAGCAGCCCTCTGACATGGGAATCTAGTTGTTGACAGACAAAATAGCAATGACCGTTTACAAAACAAAACTAACTTACCGATACATCATCACCAGAAGGAGTATGATCTTGTACGTCTGCACACACTGAACTGGACTATCTATTCAACTCTATGACATTTCTAGATATGTTAGAGGTCTACGGCTCAAAGAAATAAGGAAACAAATTACAAGTAGTTGAAATGAAACTAGTTTGACAAGTTTGAACAGAGAAGCCTCAGCCCAAAGAACAGCTTGAAGAAAACATAGTCTCAACAAGAAAGAAATAGGTTTTCTTTCTTCTTCTTCATGATTTTTCTTTTTTTTTTTTTTGGTATTGACTAATTTTGTTAAAAAAGAATAAACTGGTTGTGAAGATTGAATAATAAATATCTTAGGTATGCACTGGATTAAGAGTTTAAAGAAGATTATTGGTAGGCTTACAAATATCTTGAAGAAGACTTCACAAAAACTCAATAAAAACAATTAAATATTCTTAAAAGCCACATTTATTATGTAACTCAACAAATAATTAATAAATTATTGAACAAGTATCTCCATGTTTCACAGGGACACAGTAAATTTATTAATATGTACTAAGTTCTTTTAAAAATATTTACTTCTGAGAGAACAAATAAATGAATATCAAATCAGATTTTTCCCAAAATGATTTAATGTAATAAATGTATTTTTAAAAGTTTTTATCAGAATGAATAAAATTGAAAGAGAAGAAGCAAATACTTTCAATTAGACAAAGAACACACGTGTACATGATCTTTGTGAGTTTTAAACCTTAGAAATGAGACTGAAGCCCTGTTTGACTGTGTCCTGATCTTGGTCCCTTTCCTTCTTTTCAGAAACAATTGGTGTTATTAGAGTCTATCTTTCCATAGAACATCCTAAGCATTTATACATATACATACACAAATGTACACACATCCTCAGAAAGAGCATGTTAAATTAAAAATCTTAATTAAAAAGTTTATTATATATATTCTTGTACAATGTGGTTTTTCTTCACTTAATATTTTGAAGATCTTTCTATTTTGGGAGATGATCTAGATCAACTTTATTCTTTTAGTCAACTACTTGAACTATGAAAATATTTAATGTTTAGCTTTGGCTGACAACAAAATGTTACCCATTTAAAGAGAGCCAGTACTCTAAATGAAGGTTTTCAGCCGTCATTGCTTTTAACACTTTGGTAAAGTACATTTGAAATAATCTAGGTACAACATAGTAATTCAAATGCAGAGACTCTAGAATTAGATTGCCAGGGTTCAAATCTTTGCAGCTTCTAGGTCGGTAAAATAATACTAGTAAATGGAGAAATGTGAGTGAGTTAATAAATTTAAAATACTCAGAATAGTACCTCGTGTGATGGAGGCACTACAGAAATATTGTCCATTATTATTAAAACTTCAGTTTATTTGTATATGTTTAAGAGAGAAAAATCTTGGCCCTCATGTCATCTGGCTCATAGTTCCCTAGGTTATTGATTATTGAAGATTAGAAAATTAAATGGCTCAATATTAGTTTATATTCCAGAATTGAGTAGCTACCCTTGGAGTTGAAGGTGGTGACCAGCAGCCCTTAGTCACTATTCTAATCTACCTTTTATGTTTTATCATTTAAAACAACTACAATGTCCTAGCTAATTTCTCTGATGTGTTAGGGACAAAGAGGAAAATGTGATTGCCATTTTTGACTAAGTCTTTACTTCTATTTGAAATTTATTGAAGAAATTCTTAAGTTTGGGAGTTTTTTAAATTTTCAATGTAACTGAAATATGCATACTGCTGCTTCGCTATTGTCTCAAATTAATGTGACATTATGATGAAAACTTACAGTGCATAAGCATTACATGATGAGGCAATAAAAACATACCTCCCTTGAGAGAGATGTAAGATATTTCTCTGAGATTTTTCTTTAGTTAATGTTACTGTTCTCTCTTGCAGAGTGACACTACAAGATTGATACCAGGTGACAAACAAGTGTTATCATGTTGAAAAATGAAGAGGTGAATAATATCACATAGCTTAGGGGTCAATGCATGTAGTAGCTTACACTGTATTGTGTTATGGGATTTCAGAGCAGCTTAGTATGCTAAACATCACAGTACTTGGTAACTCATTAAACAGATATTTGCTTGGTTGCTATGGATGTTCCTGAGATGTACTTGGATATTAGAGCAGCTTAAAAAGGACAATCATTAAACTCATTTCCTTAAATGTGTCATCAACTCCTTTATTTCTCTTTACTTCATACTCTTTTGATGAAAAGATAACTAGGTAAATTCAAATTTCTGTGATTCTTCACCTATGCTCTTGTGCAGACACACAGAGATGGAGAAAAACATACAAGTTGACTGATTTAATTTTAAATTCCTGGACATGATCCCAAAGGATTCCTAATGCTCTAGAAAGTCATTTTATACTTTCTGACCTATTTACTTTCCCACCCTCTTGGGCAACAATTTCTCACCTCTGGTCTTGTCTTAAACTCCTTCACTTATTCTCCCATTCTCATTCTGACTTGATGTCCTTGCTTCCTCCATCACTGTACTAGTTTCCTGTGACTGCCTTAATAAATTGCCACAAATTTAATGGGTTAAAAGCAATAAAAAACTATTCTTTTAAAAATTTGTTCTTTTTAGTTACACATGACAGTAGAATATGTTTTGATATATTTACACAAGCATGGGATATATCTTAATTTTAATTAGAATCCTATTCTTGTGGATGTACATGATGTTGAGATTGACTGTGGTTTGTTCATATGTGTACACAGGAAAGTCATTTCAGATTCTTTCACTGTCTTTCCTATTCCTATCCCTTCTCCCTTCCCTTCATTCCTCTTTGCCTAATCCATTGAACTTCTATTTTTAACCACGCCCCCCTACCCCTATCCCTGCTTGTTGTGGATGAGCATCCACATATGAGAGAGAACATTCGACCTTTGTTTTTGGGATTGGCTTATTTCATTTAGCATGATAGTAATAGATCCATCCATTTACCAGCGAATGTCATAAATTCATTCTCCTTTATAGTCAAGAAATAATCTATTGTGTATATGTACTACAATTTATTTATCCATTCATCTTTTGATGGGCATCTAGGTGGGGTTCATGCTTAGCTACTGTGAATTGTGCTGCTATAAACATTGATGTGGATGCATCACTGTAGTGTGCTGATTTTAACTCCTTTGGATATATACCAAGGAGTGGGATAACTGGGTCAAAAGGTGGTTCCATTCTAAATTTTCTGAGGAGTCTCCATACTGCTTTCTGGAGTAGTTGCAGTAACTTGAAATCCAACGAACAATGTGTGAGTGTATCCTTTTCCCCACCTCCTTGCCATCATTTATTGTTACTTATATTCTTAATAATTGCCATTCTAGTTGGAGTGAAGTAAGATTTCAGTGTAGTTTTAATTTGATTTTCTCTAATTGCTACAGACGTTGAATATTTTTCATATATTTCTTCTTTTGAGAAGTGTCTATTCAGTTCCTTTGCCCACTTATTGATTGGGTTATTTTTTTTATGGTGTTAAGCTTCTTGAGTTCTTTTTATATCCTGGAAATTTAATGCCTTATTTGAGTGTTATAGGCTCTCTCTTCATGCTCTTAATTATGTCTTTTGCTGTGAAGAAGCTTTTTAATTTTGTACCATTTCATTTATTGATTTTTGATTTTACTTCTTCTGCTTTAGGAATGTTGTTGAGGAAGTTCATTTCTCAGCTGACATGTTAAAGTGTTGGGCCTTCATTTTCTTCTAGTAGATGCAGGGTTTCTATCCCAGTTCCTAGGTATTTGATCTAGTTTGAGTTGAATTTATGCAGGGTGAGAGATCGGGGTTAAATTTCATTCTACTACTGATTTCCAGTTTTCCAAGCACCATTTATTGAAGAGTCTGTCATTTTGGCAATGTATGTTTTTGGTGTGTATGTCTAGATAACAGTATTTATGTCTGGAGTTTTCTTTCCTTGTGTGTGTCTGTGTCTGATTTCAGTATCAGGATAATACTAGCTTCATGGAATGAGTTTGGAAGGGTTACCTACTTTTCTATTTCATGGAATAATTTGAGGAGGATTGGTGTTAGTTCTTCTTTAAAGGTCTGGTGGAACTCAGCTGAGAATCCATCTGGTCCTGGGCTTTACTTTGTTGTTAGGCTTTTGATGACATTCAAATTCATTACTTGACATTGATCTCTTTGAATTTTCTATGTCTTCCTGTTTCAATTTGTGTAGGTCATATGTCTCTAAACATTTGTCAATGTCTTCAAGATTTTCTATTTTATTAGAGTATAAATTTTCAAAAGTTTCTCATTATCCTCTGTATTTCAGTAGTATCTGAGGTGATATTTTCTTTTTTATCAAAAATTTTAATAATTTGAGGTTTTTTCCTCTTTTTTTTAGCTTGGCTAAGGGTTTATCTATTTTGCTTATTTTTTCAAAGAACCAACTTTTTGTTTTGTTTATTTTTTGAAATATTTAAAATTTTAATTTCATTGATTTGGCTCTGATTTTAATCATTTCTGTTTTCTACAAATTTTGGTGTTGGTTTGTTTTTTATCTAGGTCCTTGAGATGTAATGTTCTGAAAACCATAAGTCCCAAATCAAGGTGTCAGCAAACTCTTTAGAAAAGACTCATTCCAAACTCTCTAGAAAAAACTCATTCCTTGCTGCTTCTAGCTTCGGTGGCTCTAGGAGTTCCTTGGCTTGTGTCTGATAAGTCTCTCCCTCCATCTTTTCAGGGCTCTCTCCTCTGTTCTCTCTGTGTCCTTTCCTTTTATGTCTCTGTTTAATTTTTTCTTCTTTTTTTTTGGACAAAATATACATAACAAAATTTACCATTTTAACACTTTTAAGGATATAGTTTTCTGGCATTAAATACATTCATATTCACTGTATTCTACAGCTACTACCACTATCTGTCTCTCAAGTTTTTTCATTTTCCTAAACCAAAACTGCATATCCATTGAACACTAAATACCTATTCTTCCATACCCCTGGCCTCTAGCCATTACTATTCTACTTCTTAGCATGAAACAATATAATTAATATAATTT